AAATCCTACAATGTGGATTTTATTGGCTCACTATGTTCAAGGACATGCATGCATTCTACAAAACATATGAAAATTATCAAAAGTTAAGATATATTTCAAAAAGTCACATGATGCCTTTAAATCTTATTCTTGTGATTAAAATCTTTGATTGTTGGGATATAGATTTCATGTGTCTATTTCTTCCATCATTTGATTTTGTGTACATATTAGCCATAGTGGAATATGTTTCAAAATAGATAGAGGCAATTCCAAGTCAAAATAATGATCATAAAACAGTGATCAAGTTTTTGAAAGAATATATTTTGAGTTGGTTTAGAATCTCTTGGGCCATAATAAGTGATGGTAGAATATATTTTTACAACAAATCATTGTCTGTAATGAAAAAAATATAGAATCACACACAAATTTATCACCCTTTATCACTTTCAGACAAGTGGACAAGTAGAACTTGCTAATAGGAAGATCAAATAAATCTTGAAAAAAACAGTGCATCCTAATTGAAAGGATTGGTCTTTAAGACTTAATGATACACTTTTGGCTTATCGAACTGCTTTTAAAACATCATTAGGTGTGTCATCTTATAGGCTGGTTTATGGAAAACCTTGTCATTTGCTTGTGAAACTTGAACATACGGCTTATTGGGCTATTAAAGCTTTCAATTCAAACCTTGATGATGCTAGCCAGCTGGGTAAGTTACAAATAAATAAGCTTGAGGAAATAAAAAATGATGCATATGAGAATTCAAAAATTTATAAAGCAAGAATCAAAGAGATTCATGACAAGGGAATCTTAAGAAAAACAGTTAATGTTGGTCAATGTAATAGTTAAAGAAAAGAGAGTTAGGAAAAAACAGGAAAAAAAATAAGGCAATGCACTGTAAAAACTATATTTCATTTCTTGTCATTCATATTTTTATGACAACCAGTCGTTTCTTCTAACTAACTTCAACCACTACTACTGCTACACTGCTTGTTTATGTATTTTTTATTTACTCTTGGAACTAAACAAGGATAAATTATCTATCGAAGTTAAGCTTGGGTGTCAATTTTTCTTACTTTATTAAGAACATTTCCCTACATGTCTTGAACTAAACCCTAGTATTCTTAGATATGTGCCTTTTGATATTACAAGTGAATCTTGACACAATCAAAAGATTGATGTCTTCTCTCAAGTGTAGGAGTGTCGAAATAATAAATAACCCAACAAAACGGATATCAAACCACATAGAGATTAACTGTATAAACTACAAATAAAGAAATACATAATAACAGAAAAAGAGTTGAAGAGAGCTTTGAGATGTGATATTGACAAAATTTACATGTATAACATAAATTCTTTTTATTATTCAACTGGAAACCACACACAAAAGAGATTTCAATCGAATTATAATTTATTAATATGATTATATTAATTATCTTATTTGAGTAATGTCAATACTTATAAATGTTGTCAGGTATTCATGGTGATAACTTATGTTTACAATAAATCAATTTTTTTTTATAGCATAAATGTCGGTTATACCATATAGTAGGCTATGAAAGTGCCAAGTATTTATTGTATCAAGAGTTATACAACACAAATTTAGATTAATTATTCAATAAGCAAGGTATTAAGAGTGAGTAAGATAACAAAAACAGAGCATGTTAGTATCAAACATTAAAGCCCATGTTGAGTTTATACTATACTTATTCTTATACTATTAGTGTAATCTTTTCACCTTGACATAATAAACTTAGCCAAACATAGTGAAGAAGAGAAACATAAATAAACAAGAGGAGAACATGATTATATAAGTATAGTAAAGGAAATGAAAGACATAAACAAGAGATTAATAAAAGCAAAATTTAAGCATTATAAAAATATAAAGAAAAAGAGCAAAAATATGATTTTGATCTAAAAACCAAGATATTCAAATGCATGACAAATGCCTCCTTTTATAAGCCAAAATTAGAAACTATTGATTTGATGACTAATTATTGTGTGGGTGGCCATATCTTTTTTTAGTGACAATCTTTATCTTCTTATCTGAACAAAACATCATTGCTAACATCAGAATTTAAATAGATAGTCTTCATGAAACTTCTAGGAAATTGTCTTGACTTTCCTACAAAACAATAATCGGTATATTTAGACTTCTAAAACTCAAGATATGGGCTGAATATTGAATAGTATATAGGTTGCAAGACAGATTCTGACTTCTCCGTTGTTGGTACCATTTGAACTAAAAAATAACACTTTTAAATTTGGACTCTTCATGAAGTTTTAGACCTATATCTTAGCTTTCCATACATATAAATCAGACCTCAATCCAAGTTCTACAGCTCCAGTTATGATCCAATAACCGAATGGTGTTCTAGTTTAAATTAAAACAACATTTCTTTTCTAAGCTTAACTCTCTCTTTGTCTTTTCAATTTCAGTAGTTAAACTCATCAATCAATCCTTTGATTTTATGTGATATGCTTTCATTTAAGATGAATATTTACCATACATTAAAATTATCTTATATTATTAGATATGTTATTATAAAAAATGTTCTAGTTAAGAAGTTCTTGATATTGAAGTGTAAAATAATAATATAAAACATTGATAAAAATGCAATTTTTAAATACTAATCAGATCTCTTATTCAACTTTGAAAAACAAGTGAGCTTTAAGTACTTATATTTGGAACAACTTATCATATAGTAGGATTGCTAGTGTATGATAGATAATATTTGGGTTTCTTTGATTTTTGACAAAAATATAGTGGTAAGAAATCATTTGTAATTAGTAGTGTTTCTTATATGGCCTAAAATCTTAGTTAGTTTATAGGGCACCTAGACAAGGATTGGATAGGTAGGAAAATATAGACACTAACTTTTTCTTCTTGCATGACATCCTTTTATGTTAAGATGAGCTTTAAATTGCACATGTGTATATATATAAACTTTACTGTTACCTTAGCATTTTTAATGGAAAAAAAAAAAGATCAATTTAATTAGCTTCTTATAAAATTATCTTCATAAAATGCATCTACTTAATGCAGTGATGCTGGTTTGTGGAAAGTGGCAATTGTAACTATTCTTTGTATGCTTCTTTCATACTGGAAATTATAAGAACGAGGTAGTGGTGGATAGTTCTTTTGAAAGTTAATATTTAGTTTTAATTCGTCTATTGTTTTGATTAGGTTGACAGGCATGAGCATATATATATATATATATATATATTTATAAGATTAAATCTAAACCTTGTTCAAGTCATAGCTATCTATATAAAATAAGTCTCTTTTTTATCTTATTAAGGTCTGGTATGGACAATATATCCAGGCCCTTTATGATTAGATAATATGAAAGCTAGTAGAAGTTGTTTAATTTTTAGAGATAACTTTAGAAAAAGAATAACATGAGTTGTTCGAACATGAATAATAACAATTCCAAAAGAGAAAAATATGGATTACCTTTTAATAAACCACCTCTCTTAAAAAGAAAATAGGTAATGAACAGGTTAGTCTTTCGAGAAAAAAAAAGAGTTCTTTTAAAAGAACTTTCTAATAGATCACCATAGTTTAATAAAGGAGGGTCTTCAGGTTGATGACCTCCTTGTATGGGGTCAAGTAAGAAGTTCAACCAAAACAATAATCAATGGGACATCTTCATTTTCACAGTATGTTTTTTTGTTATTGGTCACATCTTAGTGATTATAGGGTAACATTTTTTTTTCATTTTGCAATCATTTTTTTAAAATATTATACCTTTCATCTAAGTTAAAGTTGGTTTTCAAAATAAACAAAATAACACTAATACCCTCGTATATTTTAAATTATTAAAGCTAATAATTATCATACCACTCATTCTTTTTCTTTCACCTTATATCTTTCCCTCAAAAACTCATCTTATTGTTTAAAAAATAACTTTCCTTTTGCTTCTCCTTCATTGTCACCTTGCCTTTACAAAAGAACCAACTTACAGGGTAGATTTAAAATTAGCCGACTCTCCAATCTGTTTATTTTTGTCTAAGACAAAAGTTCTATTATCATCATAGTTATCCAAATTTATGCTTCGGTTTTGTGATTGTGTTGATGTTTAGACCTTTGTCGCACGTGGGCATGTGGTGTAACAAGATGTTGGGATTGAGGAATCAACAACTAGTTATTTGGTTCAGGGTTACTAGGAGACCTAGATGTATTAGTCTTATCAGAAATTGTATTAGTCTTATCAGAAATTTCAAGGGTAAGGGACTAGTTATGGTTAGAAAAGATATTAGCACCTCTAGGCACCTTATTTAAGATAAGCTGCATTGTGTGGTTAGATATGATTTAAAAGTTTTAATAAATTAGTAACCAATGGTCTATCTGTGACTAAAAATAAAGATTTACTCCTATAAATAAATTTGATATTTTGAATTTATTATGGGTTTGTATGCCCAAATAAATTTTTAAAGGAAAGGTCTATGTAAATGTCTTGACAGAGTTCACCTATCTTAAAAGATAAAAGTGTTTCCTGCAACTCATATATTATGATGAAAAATACTTCCAATTAAAATTGATAAGTATAAAAGAAATTCAAGAATTTTTTAGTCAATTCCTAATATTTAAATACCAACTTACTTATAGGTTCAATATTTATACCAGAATGTTGACCATTAATTTTCAGATAAAGAAAAAAAAACTTAAAGTTATTGAAATATTGATCAAATATTAAAGAAATTTTACAAACTTTTTGTAAATTCCATAAAAATACAAAGAAATACATAAAGGTTCTAGAACAATTTTTCCTTTTTTATATATAAATAAAAATACAATTTTTTTAAGGATTAAGTCGTATGCAACAAGCAAAAATCATTTTTGTCATATGCAATTCAAATATTTGATTAAAGAAAATTTTATATTTTTATCATTTTTCATTTTTTATCATTCATTTGACACAAAATACAATGCAAACATACATATACACATTTTTTTTACTATATTTTTACTCATACACCCCGCAATTACATGTTTACAAGCCACAAAAAATCAAAACTTAAAAATAAATTCAAACACAAATTAAAATTTTAAAATTTACAACATGGTCCTTCCAAAGATTGGAAACGGGCTGACAAGATTACTAGGAATTCAAACAACATAATAAAAGATTCTGGGCAACTAGAATAGTAGTAGCACGTGGGTTTCACATGTCGTCTCCATTAACGATGCGTGGGTTCATGCGTCATCACTAAGGTGGACCAAAAATAGATGGATTGGGTAAATTTCATCTTCTTCTTCACGTCTATATCAATAGTGAGGGGTACCGCCACCTGCAAAACTAAGAAAAATACACAGATAGTTGATTTTTTTCTCAGATCTGCCTCTCTTAATCTTTATTATAACTTTTGTTATTTTATTTTCATATCTACTCTTTTTTATTTGTTGTAAATGAGGGTTGTTGTGGGTGAAGGGAGGCTGATGACACTGCCATAAAAAAGAGAGAAGCGAAGGGAAGCTATTGTGTTGTCATGGCTGATGGTGGCACCACTGCTTCTTTTCCACTACTAGTGGTTTGTTGTTAACATGTGTGGGATAGGGAATGACTGCTATATGAAAGAGCTACCATTATGGGTTATTGTCGAGAAAGCTTCAACCGATCAAGAGCTACTGGTGCAGGGTAATGGCTGGTGCTGTTAAGGCCTTACGAGTTTGTAAATGAATGTGGTTGTGGTTTCGATTGAGAGGGAGGATAAAACGGTTAGTGGCGGTGTTATGTTTTGACAATAATGAAAACAAAGTTGTCATGGTTGTGGGGTATTTGGTGTTGTTAGTGGTGAGGATAAAAAAATTAGTGATAATGAGTGTTTAGCAGTGAGAACAAAGAGAGATGAAAGGTTGTCTCATGTTGATAGTGGCATGGAGGTCTCGACCGCAAGATAAAGAAAAAGAAGATGAGGAGTTTTTGGGTTATACTTATGTTTTTAGGGGAGGAGGTTATGGGTAGCCAATGATGGGAAAGAAAAAAAATAAGAGTAAGGAGCAATAAGTTTTTTAGACTTTCTAATAGCTAAATTAGGTTCATTAAAGCTTGAAGATGATAGGTTCTTTTTTTTTTGTTAGGGCTTGAAAATGATAGATTTCTCCCTCTGTTTTTTTTTCTTTGAATGGATAATAAATCTTTTATGTAAAGATAAGGGCTTTGGTTTTATTGCGTGTAAGGATGGGAATCTGTTTTTTATAGTATTATTTTTAAGTTTTTGGTTGACTTTTATAGAATTTCTTTTTTTTAACTACCTATTTATAATTATTTTTTTGTTTTGTTTTCTTTCCCTTAATTTCTTAGTTTCTAAGCAATCTAAATTTTATTTGGTCTTTATTTTTTTCTTTTTGACTTTAGATCCTTTAATATTTTTGATTTTTGATATTTTGATTCTTAAAAAATCATGGCATTTTTTTCTTTTTGACTTTAGATCCTTTTGCTCATTTATTATATTTTAATTTTGATATTTTTAATATTTTGATTCTTAAAAAATCATGACAATATCAACATTGATTTAAAAAACAAGTTAACAAGTATATGTATTTAAAATTAATTTTTTTTAATTTTAAACTTTTTTAAAAAAATATTTAAAATTAATTTTTTTTAATTTTAAATTTTAAAAAAAAAATTAAAAATAATACAAGAATATCAAGAATATAAGTAAAAAATTACATACTCCAAAACACTTGCATTTGTACAAGGACAATCATTGAAATTTGTTTTACCAAGGCCTTGAAATGTGAGATCATAGCGAGTGTGCTGACGAAAATGTTGATCAAAACAAAATAATAATAATAATGAACAAACACAATAAGAATAAAATGAACTTCTCTAAATCATTAGCATGATCACCAACTAAAATTCCACCTAAACAATGCAGACTTTATCAATAAAACCATAAGCCTCGTTAACAACCCCACCATCAATTGTGATAGTTCTATGAAGAGAAGAGACAAAAAAAGCTTTCCTAACCTTACAGTGGTCTGATCTCCCTCCATAGGCCTTCGTTTGCCTCACCTCCAGTCAAGGAAGAAAGATGAGTTGATGATCTACCCGATCAACCAGGTGACCCTCTCCAACAAGCAGTGGCGTATGACCACCATTGTTGCGATTAATGGAGGTTTTCAAAATATTTTTATGGCCTTTTATGTGATTTAGTAGTAGTGGACTGCAATAATAAAAATTTATTTTCTAAAAGCTCTCTATAAAGTGATTAGATCTATATACAAGGTGTTGACCTCGTCGTGGAGGAGGAAAATGAGATAGTGGCGGCTAGGGTTTAAACTTGTTATTCAGGGGAAATGAATTTAGTGATTTTTTTTTTTGTTATTTTTATATTTCAAGGGCTTTTTAGTTATCATCTCAAGTATAATACCGGTCTTGTAAATAAATATATATTTTATGATTCCAAGAAAAGTAAAGAAAAAAAGTGTAATATTTTAAAAAATTGGTAGCAAAGTTAATAAATTAATAATAATCACAACTCACGAGCCACTCGTCATATCTATCTATAAATCAAAATTTTTACTCGATTAAAATGAGAAACGAAGTGGACGAAAGAAATTCTTGTGAACGTGGCAATCAATTCCTGGCTGGAGGATCCATGATGTGATGATGTTTGGGTGCACTCGCAAAGCACAGGCACAAACAAAACACACTCGAGTGGAGAGGCGCGTGGAGCATGGAATGGACAGTGTCGGCGGCCATGAATAAAGCTAAAAGACAAAGTGTTTGTTGGGGTGGGTAAGTAATAAATAACATGGGGGACAGGTGAAAGAAAAGAGAAAACGTTATATATATATATATATTATATTTACATATATGTGTGTGTTTAAAGAGTTTTTTTTTTAAAAAAAAAATTAATATTTTTTAATATTTAATATGTAAATATCAAAAATATTTTTTTAAAAATAAAAAATTATTTTAATATATTTTAAAATAAAAAATACTTTAAAAAATAATCAAACCAACATTCCCATCTACCCCAAAAGAGCCCGGCTTCTGCTTCTAAACTTGGATTTCACATTATATTACATTATTATTATTAAGAGTTTTTTTTTTCCCTTGAAACGCAGATTCTTTTAGTATTTTTTTTTTAATTTTATTATTAGCATATAAAAACGCAGATTCTTTTAGTATTTTTTTTTAATTTTATTATTAGCATATTAAAATTATAAAAAAATTATTACATAAATATCAATCTAATGCTGGTTTCATGGATAAGGAGTTAGGTTAGGAAAAAAACAAAAATCTCAACAAAATAAAAGAGAGAAGGAAAGAGAAAGACAAGATAATAGGAAAAGGATAGGACGGTGTGGGTGTGGTGGTCTGGAGAGTTTCAAGAGAGGGAGACATGTCCAACTTCTTCCCTACAGCCTCCCCTTGAAATTCTTTGCTTCTTCGTCAACAACTACTTATTGACTTCCTTATCAGATCCCGAAGGTCTCTCCTTCTCTCTTTATTTTATGTCGTCATGTCCTTATTTTTTCTTCTCGCTTGTACTCTGTTTGATGGTTTGGATAATAATTTATGAGTGTAGAATCCAGGTAGCCGGGAATGTTTTATTTGCTGTTTTATGTGTGCATGTTTTTTTTTTGATGTTGTGAAAGGAGTTCTAAATATACTGTTTTTACTGTAGTTACTCTCTGGTCTCACTGCTCTTTTTTTGTCACTGCATTTTTTAGTTTATTGTACTCTTTGGTTCTCAATAGGTTTTACATTAAATTTATGCCTTTCATTTTGGAATTATTGGAACAGGATTCTTGAGGATTTCCTTTAATGATCTTATTCAAGTAAATCTTGCTATACCAAATGCATTTAAGAGGTTACAGGCGGAGTAAACTGTAACCTAACTAACAGGTTTCTTGTGTGGCTGGACTTTGATTTCATGCTTATTCAATGCTAGATTTACTGCGTTGTGTGAGAGCGTACACACACACACACACACATATTAATCGTTTCTGTTTGGTTTTTTGCCAAGCCTTACTTGCAGAGCACAGTTGATTGCCGGCATAGGCTTTTAGGTTTGTCTTGTTGCACTTGTAGCATCTAAGTGCTTCCTTGGTAGATTCTTCCTTATTTCCATCAATTTTTAAGTTTGAGAACTTCTTGTTTGAAAACTAGGAGGACTTGTAGGTTTATTTTTTCTGTTACAGTCATATGTCAGTATAGAAAAGGGAGATCTCATGGTGCATTTTGTAGATTCTTAGTCACAATTCAAAACTGGTGGTTATTGAGGTCTGCATCATTAAGCTGGCCATAGATCTGGTTTTTCCATGCTTTTACATCGCGTGCCTAGTTTAATGCTCTTCTTATCTTCAATAGTTTTGTGGATTTGGTGGATGATGCACACTCTTGTTCAATACGTAACAAGCTTTAATGATGCATGCTTTGTCCGCTTTTGGAAAATTGTAGGTAGGCCAATCATGGATAGTGGTTAGTCATAGACTACACCTCCTTCCATTGTTACTTAGGTGCAACGTGACTCATCTACTGATTGGAAACTCGTTTCTGATATCAATGGCTATTGGTGTTCTTTAAATAGGCAAAACAAATGTTACTTGTAGTTATTTACCTTGTTCTCTTAGGAAAAAGTACTTCACTAAATTGGAGTGGTGGTAAAGACTCTCATGCTATGGTAGTGAATATGCATGCCAGCTGGTTAGTGTGAAGCTATGGTTTATTTATACATTTTATCATAAAATGCTTTCCTGCTGTTGATTTTTGTACAATTAGTCAAGGCCATTTCTTCCCCAAGATGTCCTTGTTAACCACACAAGCAACCTCATGCCAGCAGCAACCACAATGTTTGCACACCCGTTGCTCTTTAGTTATACTGATGGCCAATTGTGTTATGAATTCTGATGCTGGTATAGGGTTGTTGATATAACTTTAGTTACCCCTGCCTAGAACAAGTTTCCTGGAAACATGGGTAGACCATGGGATTCTTATGTGGTAGCTGAAGCCTGAAATGACTGCTGTCATTGGTTGATGTGTAAGTGGTGTATAAAGCTCTTAAAAACTTGCATTTCTAACTTCCAAAAATTACCAAGAACTGTTAAATACTGGTGTTTCTGATGTAAATGTTATTTTAAATTTTTCTTATTTCATTTTGATTTTGTATTATGCTTGTAGTCTCAGTGTCTCCCATCCTTTCTTGAGTATTCACTGTTTTTTATTTAAACCATACAAACCCTTGGTCACTTCAGCTTTGCTTACAGTGGTGATTTAACCTGACCAGTTGTTTCAGTATGAGAGTATCTCTTTTTGTGCCAAATAGTTTCATTTAGTTGTTTCATGGTGCAAAACTAGTCTATTTGAGTGTATTTCATGTCAATTTACCTATCCTTTTTAGTTGATTTTAGATTTTTCATCACATTTTCTTATGTAACTGAAGCAGACCTAGCTCAATGGATCTTGTGTTTTCTTTGGACAGTTAAACAAAATCTCAAAGGCGAGCCAAAAAGAATCCGTGATTGATTAAGGATTTCCTTCAAATTCATGATATATATATACATATAGATAAAGTTGATGGCTTTACGAATTCAGAACTTGCTGAAGAAAAACTTTGATGAACCTCACTTCACCGTTAGTTGCCCATCATGGTGGAATTCAAATGAACAGCAATTTTTGCCATCTTTATCCAAGAACACAAGCTTTAAAGTAGACTCTCCAAACCAATCTTATCATGAATCAAAGCAGTTAGGATTTCATCTCCTGGACCAGGAATCATCCTCAACTCTATCAATTGGTCAATCTCACAAAGAAATGAGTTCTGTGGGAGGGATCAATTCACAAGATCAATGTATTTCATCTGAATCTGGTACTTATCTTTGGTTGCACAAATGTATTCAACATATTATTTTCTTTATATTTGCATTACACTAGCAGACTACAGACTTTATTTTTCAGCTAGTTTTAGGGAAGGGTGCTTTCAAGTTTTTTTCTCAACTTTAGAGGGTAGGCATGGCTACCAATTACACCATGTCTTATCCTGAAGGTACATAATGTTAACAATAGCAGAAGAAATATATTAAACGTGTGTATATATATATATATATTTTCAAAAGCTATTTATGTCCCATGGAAATTAGTGGTCTTGGAATCCTTCTAACTAAAATAAGTGTTTTTTTCTTCTTGTAGAATTAGAGTGTCCTGTGAGATGTTTAAAACTAACAGCTATTGTGTTACCAAAAAATTTCCAGTCTCTGTTTCCAATTTAGGCTGAGCTTACAAGAAGCCAGTCAAAACTTGATTTTTTTTCCTTTTTATTTTTTCATAATATCAGTTTATAAAAACTCCAAACTACATGTAATACATGAAATAATTTTGTTCCTTTCTTTCAGTTGGTAACTGAGAAATGCTCCAATTGTATTCAGATGATTTCATGTTGCATTTCATCAGAAGTTGTGAGAGTTCAATTGAAAGCAAACCATCTGAATGCGTTGTGTGTTATATTTAATGTGCTGCCTTCTATTTGTTTTGTTATCTTTCCTTTTCCTGACACCAATTTAGTGCTGTTCAATAGTCATTAATATTTTTATTTTATTTTATCAGTCATTAAACACCCTTATGGTTGGTGACTTTTTTCTATTCTCAGTCTCACATTATGTTTGGGTTTTTGTACATTCACACCTGAATTCTACAGAATTAATCAATGAGCTCTCTCAACTACTGTGTGCCATGTATTCCTTCTTTTTTCTTTTTTTTTTGTAATACATTTTAAACTGTTCTTATGGATCTTACAAGATGTTTAGTTTCAGATTTTCAAATTCTTCGTCTGTTTTCTGTTTTGTAGTATTTTTCCCTCTGGTAATTTATCTTCTTTTTTTTTTTTCTCGTTTCAGTGAATTTGCCCTTTTCTTTTACTAATTGTTTCTATCCTGAAGATATCTTGTCTGAAATAATTCTTGCCTGTTTTTGACATCCACTGGAATTCTAGTCCCTTGGCACTTCATCATATAAGTAAACAGAGAGCCTTTTATATCTCCTTTTAATGTATTTTATAATTTGATACTGGAGTTAAGGTGGAGCGTTGTTACTGTATCAGTTCTTCTGCTGGATATGGTACTTTGTAATATGTTTCCTTGATATCAATGGTACCATTTATTGTGATTTAAATATTGCTGTGTTTTATGAGGCTGAATTGGCTCTTTACTGGAAATATTACAAATCAATGCCATAATTTTATTTTATATGAGTATGTTGCTAAGCTATCTTTAACATGGAACTGTTTGTTTTTCCATGTACTTGATCAAGATGAAAGTTGTGGTAAGGGAGTGAAAGGAAAAATGAAACCAGTTCTCTTGTTGAGCACTCCAGATAGTGTGTCTAATCACTCACAAGCTGATTGTAGCTATTCAATGGTAGGTTGAGCTGGAATTACATGGTCCCCTGCTTGCCATCTTGGTTATAGTTATAAATTAACTTCTTTTCACATATCAGGTTCGTGCACCACATGCTGATCCTTACTTTGGGGGGCTGTTTAATCCATATGAACTTCATGCTTTTGTAAGTATGATTGAGTACATGTGTATATGATCTATTTCTATGTAGAGTTGTCCTGTGCTATGATCTTGTTATCTGTGGTAGTGTTGATTCTCTTTGATTTGTTTATATGTTACTGATTGTTATTTTTATGCAATTTCCCTTTTTGTTCTGTTTTGCAATCTACCTAGGGCACTTTTGAATTCCCTATGTTATTTGTCTGATGGTTAAAGATGGATCTTAATCCTTTGAGTGATAATCTAAGATTTTAAAGTCTCATTTCTATATTGTTTATGTTCTCTTTTAGTTAGAATTCGTGTTCTTTCTAATTTGTTGTAACTATTCTTCATCTCTTGATCTGATTATCATTGGAACCTGATTGGATTCAGCCCCATCTGGGTTCTCATATGGTGGGGATGACAGCTGGACGAGTCCCACTCCCTGTTGATCTTGCAGATGATGGACCAATTTATGTTAATGCTAAACAGTACCGTGGAATTATCAGAAGGAGACAATCACGGGCAAAGCTTGAGGCTCAAAACAAACTGGTAAAAAATCGAAAGGTATGTCTATTCATCAACCATTTATTTTTAGCTTTGTTTTGTTAATGAGCAATCTGAATTAATTTTGCATCTCTTTTATTTTCTATAATATTTAGAGCACAATAGTTAGTTCCTTCTTGGGAAGTAAACCCGAGCACATATTACTACGCAAGAAAAACGTACAATGCTCCTTTATTTGTTATTTATTGACTTACCATGCTGCTCTTAATGGATTGCAGCCATACCTTCACGAGTCTCGGCATATTCATGCCTTGAATAGGGTTCGAGGATCTGGTGGACGCTTTCTCAGCAAAAAAAAGCTCCAGGAATCTGATCCCACTCCTAGTCAGTGTAATGTCACAGATACCATCCACTCACACGTGAAGAATGATGCATCAGAACTTGAAAGCTATCAGTCTGGAACCGGCCAGTCTGGTGCCTCAAATACTACCTGCTCTGACATCACCAGTGTCTCCTACAGCAATGTCACTTTTAGGCAGCCAGAACGCCGGTTCTCAGGCATTGCTACTCACCTTGGTGGAGGCATGGAAATCAACAGTAGGCTTATTTGCAGAGGAACCCAACACCACACTTCCGTTGTTCAGTGAAAATATGGAAGAAGACCGTGTCATCGGTCAGGCAATTCATCCTTGGCTTCGTCTCTTTTACTTAGAACTAAATGTGCATGACGGACACTGTTATGTATTTGATCTCTCTGCGGTTTGCTCCTTTTTTTTTCTTTTCTTTTTTATAATGTCTAGACATCCTCGGGGATGTCAAAATGGTTGGAAAGAGTTTTGTGTTTGAAACCCATCACTGGGTTACACTGATTGTTAAAAGTGTTTTCTCATCAGATTATCAAATAAAAGATCAGACTTGGGGCTTTGATCTAGCATCAAACCACAAATATCCAAATGTCGGGCGCTTTGCTCTGTGAATACTGAAGTAGGAGTCTATTTTATAGGTTCAGATAATGTTGTTTCATTCCTGCATCTGTTTCTGTGTCGAGACTTTGGACTGGGACATGACATGCATGTGCGAGGCATGTACTAAACACTTGAATACGTTTCGATATCTTCGAATCTGATCTATATATATATATATATATCGAGACAGCTATATTAAATATTGATTATTTATAATTCTTTATTTCAGTAATGCCACGTGTTTTCTTGTTGATAAATCAAATGTGAATTTCTAATTAGATCATTATTAGTCATCTGTACTATATATTTATTTTGGATGTCGGCATTACTGAAATAAAGAATTATAAATAATCAATATTTAATATAGCTATCTCGATATATATATATATCAAGACTGAGTCATCTGTACTTTCATAAGAATATATCAGCTCTCATGGAAGTCATTCATATATGCAAATTAGTGCATTCATGAGAATATAATTGGATTTGGCGTGGGTGGAAGAATTTTTTTCCTATCAAGCTTGGGATGGGCTCAGTGACTCTTCATTAATAAAAATATGATATTTTATAATTACAATTAATAGTTAATAGTTAATCCATAATAAGAATTAAATGTCAAATCCATATAAATATTAACTTTTATAATAACTCTCATACACAGTTAAATATCAATAATCAAACTATAAAAAATAAATTTATTTTAAATGATCAATTATTTTGGAAATTGTTGACCCCACATATAATTTGAGTTCAATATGCTATTTGTTCTTCGTTTTTTTCTTTTAATATGAAGAAATCACAATTAGAAATTGAATTTGGAATAGAGGGAGACGGCTTGCAAATTAAATGGAATGTAGGAATCTTTACTTGGCTTTATTAAGTTTGAAAAGAAAAGATATGCAAATAAATTAATCTAGATAAAATATAAAAAAACAATAATGAAAATGTAGGAAAAGTTGTAAAAGAAAACAAGAAAAAGAAAGACAATGGATAAAGAATAAGATAAATAAATAAAAAATCATGTATATAAGGATAATCATCATTTTTAGTAATTGAATGATCTTTTCATGATGTTATAGAGGTTAAACAATAATTCATAACCCTATATAAACAACTTAAAATAGATAAGGAGTTTACACTGAAAAAAATAAAAATCTAACACAACATGAATTTCTAAATATGCATGTCTCCTTCCTCAAAGTTATATGAATCCTAACTAATTTGTAATACTTGCCAATTCAATATGTTAGGACTCGTATTTCTAATAGGAGTTAATCTTTTAATCATTCATGTCAATCTCTTATCTTTATTGTCGGTTGTCTTTTCTTGATTGATCATTTTTTTATAGGCATAGAGTGTGAGTGATTATTATATATAAATTTGATTCTTCAAGGCAAGTTCTTATTGGGTTAAGTTTTAAACCATTCAAATCCGATTTTAGCATATCTTGAAAGGTGTTTACATCAATAAGCTTATTCAAAATATTTGGATCAAGGTGAATTTTAAGGAGGATACATCAACAAGTGAAGATCATATTTTAGTTAATTTAACATATGTGCAAAGGGGGCAT